CGATGCATTGAACAACTTAACATTGATACCTGAGTCCTAAGATTTTCCATCTGCTTCATTTGATTTTGTGTTCTTGGACTTCCTGCTCCTTAAAAATGGAACTGTGATCCATCCTTCCTCTTGTGCTATTGTTGGATTAGAATTAGCAGTTAGTGCTTGGTCCGTTGAGGGGGAGATCATGTCATTTGTTGATGGTCTTATTAATGTGCAAGAGGTGGTTTTGTGGCCTAGCCTACCACATGTTTTGCAAAAGAAGTTGTCTGCTTCATATTGGATATGCTATTTATGAGTACCAATATAGATGAATTTTTTCACCGGCTCTTCCATAGGTATTTCGATGCATAATCTAGCATATCTTCCCCTCAGGGAAGAGGATGTGCAAGCATCTACCTTCAATAGCCTTCCTATAACTCCTCCTATTTTCTGGAGTATTTTCCCATAATAGAACCGTTTGGTAATTGAGGGAGTCTAACCCATACTGCTGAGTAAGTTTGTCTAGCTTCAGTTGCCACGAAATTGGGTTGCCACCTCTGTATTGATAAAAAGTTTTCATGGATGAACAATGGCCCTTTTTGGAGGATTTGATTCATGTTTTCTTTCTTCTGTAATTTGACTATGAAGTAGTCATTGCCCAAGTCGATTGGATTTTTCCCTTTTCTTGGATGTCCATTGGAAACATGAGGAAAGATGAAGGGTCTGTGGAGAAATTTATTGTATCTTCTTTTCCCAAGAGTTTCTCTTTGAACGCTTGAGGAATTTTGTCGCTTGGAATACCTGGGCTATTAACTTCGTCCATTGATTGAGTAGTTGATATTTTTATCCGGCGGCTTTGGAGGGATTTGTGTAGTGTCTAGGTTAGAGGTGATTGAATCCATGGAGGATGAAAGTTAGTTTTAGTTGTTTTTTGACTTTAGAAGGAATTTAGAGAGGAGGGATAGCACTTCTCTCTAATAAAGACCCCCTTTCAACTTTGGGTTTGAAAAATATTTTTTCCTAGGGACCGACAAAGGGAAATTACACAAAATAGTACTTTATTAATTCGAAAAAGGGTCATATATGCAGTGAACTATGCGAATTAGGATAGATATGCCCGTCGTTAATAGTTTGGCACGAATATGTCCAATCCATCCAATACTTGTTCATTCATGCCCTTAGTTTAATGGAACCACTATTTTGTCTTTCTTAAATAATGAATAATCGGACCCAACCAAAATTTGCTGGCCCTATCTGTTAGGACCCGACCCACCCTTATTTCAAAGATATTTTTTGATATATTATTTTTGTTTGTTTGAGAAATTGTGTGATAATCATATTTATTTATTTGAGTAATTTGATAATCGATTTTTTTTTGTTATACATCATTCAGGAAGTAATCCTACTAAAAGTAGTAATTGATATTTATTTATTATTTTAATAATATAATATTCGAACTAGTTTGTGCTTTCTTTAACCATTTTACCATCTATTTTTATTTTTCTCACAATCTATTTGTATTTTTCACCAATACAAATACAAATAACTCCATGTTCACTATAACTTAACCTGATGGATCCGTTTTTTGTTTTGTTTAGATAAGTATTGATTATACGATTGATTATTAGTTTATTGAATTATTTTCTGCATTACAAATTTGTTATGAAATAAGTGATAAATTGTTAAAACAGTGGTGCTTCTTTTTTATTTTTATTAATTAATTATTTCATAACAAGCACCACTGTTAAAACAGCGGTACTTCTTTTTTATTTTTATTAATTAATTATTTTATAACAAATATTATTCATAACAACCACCACTGAGAAAAATAAAAATAGAAGGTAAAATGATTGAAGAAAGCACAAACTAATTTGAATATTATATTATTAAAATAATAAATGTATTCAATTACTACTTTTAGTAGGATTACTTCCCGAAATGATGTATAACAAAAAAAAATGGATTATCAAATTACTCAAATAAATAAATATGATTATCACACAATTTCTCAATCAAACAAAAATAATATATCAAAAAATATCTTTGAAATAAGGGTGGGTCGGGTCCTAACGGATCGTGTCAGCAGATTTTGGTTGGGTCCGATTATTCATTATTTAAGAAAGACAAAATAGTGATTCCGTTAGGGATTTTTTCCTTCCTATACAATATTTAAAACTTATTTACTAAAATTGTCCATAGTTAGTATATTACCCACCCTAAACAAGTTTTTCTTACCATTTATATACAATCCATTATTAGTGCCTTAAATTAGGGAATTTAGTTACACTATTTTCCTTTTTTTTTTTCTCTCCTCCCCTCAATTTCCCTATTCTCTGCTATCTCTCTCCACCCCTCAATTTCCCTATTCTCTGCTATCTCTCTCCACCCAAAATTCCCCATTCATGATTGATCTCGCCAAAATTCCCCATTCATGATTGATCTCGCTAAAACGTTGAAAAGGAAAAGCAACAGTATGCGCCGTAGGCAAATACTTTCCTCTTTATTTCTTTCTTATTAGTTAACTAGTGCCTACAAACAGATGAAATCACTGGTGTGGGAGAAATTTAAAAATAGCCAGATTTACAACTGGTCGTTCAAAAATAGCCCAATTTCAAAAGTAATCAAATTTAGCCACTTTTTATGTAAAGATAAATCTGAGTGAAAACGCTGTTCAAAACTCGAAAAATACTCCAGTATATTATGCTGGAGTTCCAACATAAGTATACTTGAACTCCAGCATATTATACTGGAGTTCCAGGATAGTATGCTGGAACTCCAGCATAATATGATGGAGTTCCAGCATAAATACACTAGAACTCCAGCATAATATACTGGAGTTCCAGCAAGTATATTGGTCCAATATAATATACTGGAGTTTGGAGCACCAGTGCTCCAGTCTCCAGTATATTATACTGGAGCCAGCAAAGTATACCGGTCCAGCATAATATGCTGGAGTTCATACACAAGTGCACCGAACTCCAGTATATTATGCTGAACCGGTCTCTTTTGCAGCAAAATAGTGGCTATTTTTCATTGACTTGGTAAACGCTGGCTATTTTTGATTGACCACCCCGAAAACTGGCTATACCGTACTATTTTTACGTCAAGATTCTATCTTTGTCCCTCATCATTCAACATATCTTTTTTTTTTGTTTCTTATATATGTTTCAAATAATCACAAAAGGTACAATTTTTCTAAGAATGAGAAGGACTCAACAATAGCCATGTACCCAACCTGGTAGATATCTATTACCATTTCTTTTTCTCCTTTTGACACAATTTTTCCGACTTTATGCATTTTCATGCTTCCTCGTTCCCTTATTCACTGTATCTCAAGAAGTAGGCCCCAATTTTATCTCTCAAACTTCACTTCCCCTTTCGAGACCTTTTCCTAGGTTACATGGTTTTTTACTTCAATCTCCAAACCTGAAGTTCACCTAGCATTTCTAAATTACATGTGCATCATACACATTCAGCTCAAGGCGACGAAAGGGCTCTGAATATCAGCTCGAGACATTATAAGGAGTTTGAAATGCTAGATGAAAAAAAAAACAGACAAATAACTTAGTGCAAAAAAAGTGAATGGCGAATATCGCAAACAGGACATATATAACAATGATCTCGAGATTAGTTGGAGTTGAAGCGTAAGTAGAACAGAGAGAAGATAAATTTGTATGGTACAACAACATACAAATTAAAAAAGAAATTTCCTACAAATTTGATACATCTACAACAAAAATTTTATACAACTAATTATATAATATACAACTTATTTATAACTTATCTACAACTTGCATACATACTAAAAATAAATTTCACACAACTAATTATACATCATACACTTATTTACAACTAATCTACAACTTTCATACATTATATTTACTTGTTAAAATACATCTACAACATCATACAACTTAAACACAATTTTTACACAAATTTTATACAATATGTCTTTTGTATATTTTGTATCTGATTTATACATAGTAAAAACAAAGTTCATACAACTAATTATATATTATACAACTTATCTGCAAATTATCTACAACGTATCTACAACTTTCATACATTATATCTACCCAGTTATATACAACTACAATATCATACAACTTAAATACAATTTTTATACAATATTGTTCAATTTTCATACAATACTTAAATAAAAAAATATATATAAATAACATACAATTTTCTACAATTTTACTACAACTTTACTACAATTTCTGCAGTATAATGTATGTCATGTCTTCTTCTTCTTCTTCGAGTTTCAATCTGAAATTCAGCCAAAATCAGGTCTAATCTTCACCAAAACACCCTCAAAATTGAGATATAAACTTCAAACCATATTCCCAATTGTTTGCAACAACACCCAATCCAAACAAATAATAATTTTTAAAAACCCAAATTCGAATTCAAAGTTTCAAAGCTTTTAATAGTTGCCAATGGTGGAATTGGTGTTCTCTTTTCCTTTGCTTTACATTACTGGAATTAGGGATTGAGAAATAGAGAGAGACGTAGAGAGAATCTCCAATTATTTGCAACAACACCCAATTCAAACAAGTAATATTTTTTGAAAATCTAAATTCGAATTCAAAGCTTTAAAGCTTTTTAATGGCTATCAATGGTGAAATTACTGCTCTCTTGTGCAAGATACGTAGGGGAGGGGGTGGGATGTGGAGAGAGAAACGTGTGTGTGGAGGGGGGGGGGGGGAGGGAGAGTGAGATAGAGAGAGAGAAACGTGGGGGGAGTGGGAGTGATTGTAGGAACTGATTAATTATCCTTAAATCTTAAAAATGTAAATAATTGATAATTTTGTATATAGGAGGTAATTAAAGTGACATTTGAGTAAGGAGGGTAATAAAGTTTCCATTAATGTATATGTACGTTATATGACCCTTTATTAATTAGCACTCGTCAATACGCTACAACTAATAGAAAGGACACAGGACACACAGGAAAAGTAGAAGTTGACTCTTTAGTCTTTGTAGTTGATCCAAAAGTCACACTACAAGTTAACAAAAATAAATAGCCCCATTAATTTTCTTCTATATAGAGTAATGTTCTTGATTTGTTTAAAAAATCATAAGTTTTCTTGCAATGGTTTCTTCCTTTTTTTATCTTCTATTATTTCTGTTTTTCTTTCCACTACACAATTTAGCTCAAAATAATGGTAGAGTAGCAACTAGCACTTCTCTTACTGCAACAGATGGAACCACCCCATGGTTTTCACCATCTGGTGATTTTGCATTTGGGTTTCAAAAACTTCAAAATAAAGATCAATTCTTGCTTTGTATATGGTATGCAAAAATACAGGAAAAAACCATAGTATGGCATGCAAATATCAGTAATCCAGTGCCACGTGGATCAAGATTACAGCTTGATTCTCAAAATGGTCTCATACTTAGTGATACACAAGGCAATACAATTTGGAGAACTGATTTGGTTATTGGTAATATTGACCATGGATTTATGAATGATACTGGAAATTTTGTTATTATGGGAAATGATTCTACTGATCCATTGTGGGAAAGTTTTAGAAATCCAATTGACACTTTGTTGCCAAGTCAAACATTGGAAAGAGGAAGCTTCCTTGTTTCTCAAAGATCAGAAGCTAATTTCTCTCAAGGTATTGTTGAATTCCATCTTTGAAAAGTTTTTCTTGAGCCGAGGGTCTATTGGAAACAGCCTCTCTACCTCCATAAGGTAGGGGTAAGGTCTGCGCACTACCCTCCCCATACCCCCACTTGTGGGAATACATTGGGATTTTCGTTGTTGTTGTTGTTGTTATTGTGGTTGTTGTTGTATTGTTGAATTGTGTGACCGGCTCATTTTAATTATTTAATTATATTATGTCTCGACATGGTATATGTATTACGAGATTTATCAATCATCATGACTAATTGGTTGGTTTTATATTGGCTGCTAGTCTACTACAATCCTCTTCCTTTATCCGAGCTTGGGAGGGTGGAGTTAGGAATATTTTTAGTCATGTTACCATATTTACTTTAAATCCTATGCTTTTTAGGAGTGTCTGAGCCTTATTTGAGATTTTCATGCCAGTAGAGAATATAGAGTTCTAGTACTTTTCGCTTATAATGGCCTGAGATGAAACATGGTGAGTGAGGATTCATATAGCCAATCTCAACTTGTTAGGAATCGAGGCGTATTTGTTGTTGTATGTCTCAACACGCCCCCTCACGTTTAGAGCGAGTACGATTTAACATTTTAATTATATTATGTCTCAACAGGTAGATTTTATCTTCGCATGGTTGATAATGGGAATTTGGTGCTTGGTACAAAAAGTGTGCCTTCCAATTCAGATTATGATGATGAGTACTATAACAGTCGAACTTCGGACGAAGCAAATGTAACCAATTCTGGTGATAAGTTGGTTTTTGAAGAGAATGGTATGATGTACATCTTGAAGAGAAACAATGAAAGGCAGTTTCTTACTCCCCGATCTATTCCTTCAGCTTCGGAAAATTATCATCGCGTGACACTTAACTTTGATGGAGTTCTCACTCATTATTATCGCTCGAGGAGTTCTAATAGCAGTGGCTGGAATATTTTATGGGCTCAACCAGATAATATATGTTTCAACATTTTTAGTGGAGGAATAGGGGCTTGTGGATACAATAATGTGTGCAATCTCGGTACAAACAAAAGACCAGTTTGTAACTGTCCTAAAGGATATTCACTACTTGATCCAAATGATATTTATGGAAGCTGCAAACCAGATTCTGCTGTAAGTTGTGATGAAGTTGGGAGGGGTTCACCTGAAGATTTGTACAATTTTATCACGGTTCGTGATACTGATTGGCCAACATCTGACTTTCAGAAGCTTAGCCCTTCTACTGAACAAGACTGCCAAAGTTTCTGTTTGAATGATTGTTTTTGTGCTGTTGCTATTTATAGAAGCGATAGCTGCTGGACAAAGAAGCTGCCACTGTGGAATGGGAGAATAGACACCAGTCTGAATGCGAAAGCTTTTATTAAGATAAGGAAAAATGGTATTCCTCCTCTAAGTCCTGGGCTTCCAAATCCAGGATCTTGTCAAAGCAAGAATTGGCGAAATTGGGCAGTTGTGTCGTCCACGCTCTTAGGTAGCTCTGTGTTGGTGAATGTTCTCTTCATTGGTGTATTTTGTTGGGTATTCTTCCACATTTATAAAAAGAAAGCGAAAACATTACGCCCTAGAAGTCGTGTAGCAGACTCTATTTGTCATAGTTTTACATACAAAGAACTTATCGAAGCCACAACAGACTTCGAGGAAGAGCTAGGCAGGGGAGCCTTTGGTATTGTTTACAAAGGGGTGATGCCTATCGGTTCAAGAAACGTTGTTGCTGTAAAGAAGCTGGATAGAGTTGCTCACGAGACAGAGAAGGAATTCATGACTGAAGTAAATGTGATTAGTCAGACTCATCACAAAAATTTGGTCCGTCTTCTTGGATATTGTAACGAGGGAGCTCACCGCTTGTTGGTCTACGAGTATATGAGTAACGGCACTCTTGCAAGTCACCTTTTTGGTGATCAAAAACCTACTTGGAGTCAGAGGACAAAAGTTGCAATGGGGATCGCAAGAGGACTTGCATACCTCCACGAAGAGTGCAGTACACAGATTATTCATTGTGACATAAAGCCTCAAAACATTCTTCTGGATGATCACTATATTGCCCGAATATCAGATTTTGGATTGTCTAAACTTCTGATGATGAACCAGAGCCGGACGCTTACTAACATTAGAGGAACAAGAGGTTATGTTGCTCCAGAATGGTTCAGGAATAGTCAGGTCACGGTTAAGGTGGATGTTTTCAGCTTTGGAGTATTGCTACTAGAGATCATCACTTGTCGTAAAAGCCTGGAGAATGAGGAAAGCTATGGACCGGAGGCAATTCTTACAGATTGGGTTTTGGATTGCTTTCAAGAGGGAAAATTTGAAGCTTTGGTAGAAACTGATACCGAGGCCTTGAATGACAAGAAGCAGCTCGAGAGGTTTGTGATGGTCGGTATTTGGTGCATTCAGGAGGATTCGACGATGAGGCCTACTATGAGGAAAGTCACTCAAATGCTTGAAGGATCTGTTGAAGTGACTACTCCACCTTGCCCTTATACATTCAGCACTACTATTTAAGATCAGCCTCAATTGTCTGTGATTTCCTTCGCTGTATATCTTTAATATCTAAATACTAAGGTAATGTTACTCATCATGTTGCATGTTCTTTATATTGTATATTCTGCGTGATTTCCTCAATTTTGTGCTGGTAACTGATAATCTGTTTAGAAATTGGCTCGTTACTCACTATCAGAAGCGGATCCAGAATTTAAGTTTTCTTCTGCTCGGTCAAACACTAATTTTCAAATCCCACAGAGATCTAAGGTTTAGCTACAACTCTTTACTATCACTAAGAAGACAAACTCGAACAATTCCTAAGTTATAAATATTAAGATTCTTATGTTTAACTAATTATCTAACAAATTAAAGTAGTGAGTTAATAAATAGGGATACTAAGGGTCGGAGACAAAATTGGAAAAGCCTAGAGTTATGATTTACCCAATTGTCGGAATCCTTCCCACTACATCTCCTACAATTTCTCCTGAGTATTCTCGACTCATCATGAGCACTCGACTTATCGCAATTCTCTCTCGAGCAACTACAATAATTTACTATTCATATTCTCTCGAATTACGCTAGCTTGCACTTTTTCATCGCCCATTATGATGACGTCAAAGCTTCGTTATCTCTAATCGCGCTTATAAACCTGCTGCATTGATTTCTCATATACGCGTAGTTGAACAAGTGGGATATTCAAAGGCAAAATTATACTAACGTAACAAGAATTCATCCTCCAAAAGGTTCCATCAAACCATAGATTAGAGAGTTTAGCTACTCATAATTGTATAAACAATCATAGTCATATTCAAAAGTATTAAACTACGGATTAAAGAAGAACAGAGAGAAAAACTCTTAGGATTCGTGCTCCAGAGTGTTGTGTAGTCTTTTGCCTCTCCAATAATATCTCTCTCTTCAAAAACTAACTTTAAGAGGTATTTATATGGTGGGACCGAGGTCTACATGTCCAAACATAATGAGGAAATAAAAGTAGCTCGAATAAGCATCGTCGGAGCGAGGCATTGTCAGAGGCACCAACATTACTCTGCGAGGCACCATCAGAGGCGCCAACATTTCCCGGTGAGGCGCTATCAGAGGCGCCAATGACAATGCTCTGGACAAAGCCTAAAATTTTGTGTGCTCATCAGAAATGACCTAATGAACAATAGTCATAACTTCGCAATACTTCGATCAAATTAATCGATCGATCAAGAAGCTAATCTGTTTTGTTTGGGCCGGTAACTAAAAGAAAGTCCTCGCTTTCTCTTGAACAAAGGAAGGGCAGCATAGCATTAACTTCAATTGAATAAGCTCAATCTTAAAGAGGTTCATACAAGTAGCGGACTAACATTTGTGTCTTGCAAATTCTCTTCATAAACTGAAGTCACTAACTCTGAAAACTACATTGTGAAAACATTATACACCCGAAGGAACTGAAATTGATTCAATCATGAGCATTTGCAAAAGAAATTTAAAAGAGCACATTTGGCTTGTATTATTATTCTTTCACTTGCATCTTATTATAAAAATCATGTCTTGAAAATCAAATGGAAATGCTATAAGGTACACCTTTTCCAGTAACACCAGGTCCAGAAAATGGTTTCAACAGTTCATAAGGCATAACTCCAGCTCCATTTCTGTTCATCAAATTGCTATCAGCATTTCTACCATCAATAATCCCTTCAAGCTCTTTCAATCTTCCAGAAAATTTTTCAAACGCCGCATTAATCACAGGATTCTCAGCCCAATAAGGTTCAATTTTTTCTCCAAGATATTCTTCATCTGGAGAATGATTAGATAAAACATCCAAAATTGCCATGACTTTTGTTGCCTACATTTGTGATGGAAAGCATTTTAATAGTGCATCCTCAGGTCTTTTCAAGAAACTCTCCCATTCTTCATCAGTTGGATCCTCAGTTGGCATTTTGCTCTAGCAGTTGTTGGCCTATTTGGAAAGTAGCCTACACATGCAATAGCAGATCAGTCAATATTCTATGATTTGAGGACAACATAAATACAATAAGTAGAAAATAATGTAAAGATTTTTTATGCTATCAGTGTAGTTTTAACTTATGATAGTACATAATTATCATTTTTATCAGTTTACTATTAATGTTTATCATAGAGATTTACTTGTAATTACCTTATCAATGACTTACTGTGTAAATGTTTTTCACATCACCAGTGCGTAGAACTTAAACTTGTTTTAAAACGAGTTTAAGCTCTATGCATCGATAGTGTATAAGAACTTTTACACTATCGGTGTCAACTAAAAGATAACTACAAGTAATTATCCACAAGAACTGAGAACTTTAACTTGAAAAATAAGGCAGGGGGGGTGTGGGGGGGGGGGGTAAGGGGTACCTGCATAGCTGTATTGTCCAAAGTTTACTGCTGCATGGTGGCCAGAAGTTACCCAAACTATTGTTGTGATAATTCCAATTAAGTCATCTGGGGTTTTTAGTTCTGGCCACCACGGCTCGTCTTTCTTGTCACCATGTCCAACATCTTTTATCTCTGTCCACCAAGCTTGGAGTTCTGTATCGGATTCTATGAGTTCGGATTCTGTATAGTAATGGTTGACATAGTCTGTTACCCATTGTTTAAGGATGTCCCATAGTACTAAACCATCATTTGCAAAAGGGTAGTCTTCTATTGTTAGTTTCAAACCATATTGTGCATCTGGATCTTTCACAGCCATTCCCCTGTAAAAGTTTGAAGAAATAACATGTTATTTGGAAGGACAAAACAAACACTTTTTATACTTTTCCAAGAAAATATGTATATTTACATAATATGAGTTTTACTTCTATATACTGTCTGAGTGGAATTTTTATACTATCAGATCACTTAAAACATAACTTCATGTAATTCTCCATAATAAGTAGGACCAGTAACATGAAAAATTAGACAGGTTAAAATACAATGATAGTAGTAAATTACCTGCTAATGAGGTCTTCAGGGAGTGCCTGTCGATCAAATCGCCATTCAAGACCATAAGCAACAGAGCTTAACTCCACGGCGTATTTGCCAGGGAAGAATGAACTCTCAATAATGCCATTGGCATTAATAAGAGCTTCTCTAGCTAAGGCATTTATCTCCATTGTGTATCTGAAGTGAGGATGCAGTAATCTGTATATTGGGTGCATTGCACTAAGTTGCCTATTTGTTGCTATGATGTATGGCTCTGTAGCACAATGAGTTCTTAGCCTGCAAAAACCAATTTCAAAGTATTACTATTCCTACGATGTTTTTCCAGCCAGATAGCGAGCGATCACTCAACTATGAACACTAACTGAAAGCGGCCAGGAATATAATGCGAGTCATCACTTACCAGTGGCTAACTAGCTGGTGATAGCCAGAGTCCTGAGCAAGAACATGAGCTTTAGCTAACTTCCATAGCCAAGCACCAGTGGCATGCCAAGTAGGGCAATAAACTTCTTTCCATTGAGGTTTATCATATACAGGTGGCCTTGTTAACTCAATGGCCAAAGGTCTCAATGTGCCATCTGGTGTCAAGAAAAATAGAGTTCTTGATCCATATATCACTCTTCCTTTGAGTTCATTCACTTTGTTCACATATGGCAACAGCAAATCATGATAATCTAGAATAAACAGCTTCTTTTGTTTAACTGCCTGCATTTGTATATAACTCAAGAATTAATTAAGCAGGAGGAAGACTATAGGCACAGGCTTGTAAATGGATTATTTGCATTGTATGGCATTTTTTGAGGCCACATTTTAAATTATATCCCCTTAGTTTACTAGACTAAAAAGGAAAAAATAAAAAATAATTAGATTTACAACTGATAATTGAAAAATAGCCACAGTTTCAAAAGTAAGCGAAATTTAGCCACTTTTTCATGTAAAGATAAAATCAAAACAAACACAGCCTTAAAAATCCAGAAAAATTCCAGTATAATATGCTAGAGTTCAAATTTTTACAATGAGATTCCAGCATAATGTGCTGGAGTTCCAATATAATATGCTTGAAGTTTAAACGCAGGAGCTCCATAATCTAGCATATCATGCTGGAACTTTCCGTGTGCTGGAGTTCCAACATAATATACTGGAAGTTTATATGCAGGAGCTCCATAATCCAACATATTATGCTGGAACTTTCCATGTTTCAGCAAAACAATGGCTATTTTTCAATGACTTTACAAATGCTGGTTAGTTTTCGATTACTACTCCGAAAACTGGCTAGCCAGTGCCATTTTCACCTAAAGTTCGCCTTTAAAAGGGCGATGTGCACAGATAGCCACTGACAGCTTATGTCTTTATTTTAAAGCCAGCGTTTTAAATGTCTTTAGTCTTTAGCCACTGGTTTAATAAACTTTAACTGCTCGGACAAAAATACCCTTCTGCTCATGTCCTTAACTTCAGGACTTCAGGACTACATGTCCTTAACTTTTGAACTTGAAACTCTAAGTTCAGGACTTCAGGACTACATGTCCTTAACTTTTGAACTTGGAACTCTAAGTTCAGGACTTCAAGGTTACATGTCCTTAAGTTTTGAACCTGGAACTCAAACTTCAAGACCAAGCGTCCTTAACTTTTGAACTTGTAAGTCAAAGTTAAGGACCTATTGTCCTTAACTTTTGAACTTGTAACCGTAAGTTAAGTACTGCTTGTCCTTAACTTTTGAACGTGTAACTGTAAGTTAAAGACTGTCTGTCCTTAACTTTTGAACTTTAAATTCAAAGTTAAGGACTGCATGTCCTTAAGTTTTGAACTTGAAACAATAACTTAAGGACGACATATCCTTAAGTTTTGAACTTGAAACAATAACTTAAGGACTGCATGTCCTTAAGTTTTGAACTTGAAACTATAAGTTAAGGACTGCCTGTCCTTAACTTATGAAACTGAAACTCAAAGTTAAGGACTGCCTGTCCTTAACTTTAGAACTTGGAAATCAAAGTTAAGGACCTATTGTCCTTAAGTTTTGAACTTGTAACTGATGTCTGTCCTTAACTTTTGAACTTGAAAATCAAAGTTAAAAGATTTAAATTTGGGAGAGTCTGCGACATTATTCTTTGGCTATGAATTGAAATCATTATTTTTGTTTCTTTTATTTTGTGCTTTCCAACTGAACCATGCAAGGAGAGCAGAAGGTCTAC